TCTTCTCTTCTCTTCTCTTCTCTTCTCTTCTCTTCTCTTCTCTTCTCTTCTCTTCTCTTCTCTTATCTTCTCTTCTCTTCTCTTCTCTTCTCTTCTCTTCTCTTCTCTTCTCTTCTCTTCTCTTCTCTTCTCTTCTCTTCTCTTCTCTTCTCTTCTCTTCTCTTCTCTTCTCTTCGCTCCTCCTCTCCTCCTCTCCTCTCCTCTCCTCTCCTCTCCTCTCCTCTCCTCTCCTCTCCTCTTCTCTCCTCTCCTCTCCTCTCCTCTCCTCTCCTCTCCTCTCCTCTCCTCCTCTCCTCTCTCTCCCTATCCTCTCCTCTCCTCTCCTCTCCTCTCCTCTCCTCTCCTCTCTTCTCTTCTCTCCTCCTCCTCCTCTTGCCGTGCGGGAAGCGCGGACTCCAAAGCATGCCCGGGAGGCCTCTGGAGACGGCGCGCAGGGATGCCCGGGGGCGCGCTGGGGCGTCCCAGGGTGCACGTGGCTCGGGGCCCCTGTGGAACGCAGACCGGAAACTGGAACGTATACACTACCAGTGGCGGGCTGTTCTTCAATCCCAGGATTTTTTGAGGATCGGGGGCGACGTCGGGGTGGTGTGGTGTACTCTTTTCCCCGTGTTCCCGTGGAAGCAGCAGAACATGTATACACCAGGGTGCCGTATACACCAGAATCCGTTTTCTCGTGCGGGTCTCAGTGCGGGACCGGAAAAAAGCATCGGTGTAGAAAGTTCGGTTCCTCACCTGGGGCGGGAACCTGGTGGTCGCCCACCTGCAGAGGCATAGTCACCTTGTGCCTGCTAGGCGGCGGGGAGCGCCGGGGAGGGACGGTGGGGGATGAGCTGCGTTCCGAGTGGTCGTGCCCTGGTGTAGCTTGCGAGGTGGTCGGCCCGACGCCCGGGGCGGGTTCCTGGTGGCTCCCCGCGTCCAGGGGCATCGGGTGCCGTTCCGTCGCGCTCCCGCCGTGGTGGTGCACACCGTGGAGTCCAGTCGCGCTGCGCGATGCGCCGAGCCGTCCCGCGCTCACCCTCGTGGTGCTCAGCGGGTTCGCGCTGGCGTTGCCGTGCCGTCCCGTGGCCGTCTTGTGGCACTGCTCAGCGTCGTAGTGCTCGGTTCGCTAGTGCTGCTCGGTGTCGAGCCGTTCACGGACGTGGTGAATACCTGCTCTGCTCTCTCCTCGTTCAAAGATGTGAGGCTGCTGGTGCTGAGGCCCGTCTTGGTGCACCACGCCGTGTTGCTTGATCCCGTCCTTCTGCTCAGTGTTGGGGTGCTACTCCATGGCGTGCTGCACAGGGGACGTGCTGGTGGCAGTGCTCCTCTCACTCGTGACTGAGGCTGTTGGTGCTGGGTCCCGTCGTGTTGCTGTTAGGCGACTTGGCGACTGGGGCGGGCGGGGTCATGGTGGTCACCCGCCTTCAGAAGTGTCATCGCCTTGTGCGTTCTCGTACGCGGAGTGGGCGTAGGCGGGATAGTAGGGGCTGAGCTACGTTCAGTGTGGCCGAGCCCCCATGTATCCTGCAGGTTAGGCGGCGTTGCGCCTGGGGCGCGGGCCTGGTGGCCATCCGCATCCATGGGCGTCCCATGCCGTCCTGTTGCCCGTTGGACGTCGTGGTGGACAACGGGCTGTCCCGTCACAGCTCGACGTGCCGTCTTGTCGCGCGCTGGACGTGGCACAGCTCGCCTTCATTATGCTAGGCTCGCTGCTGCTACTCAATGTCGAGGGGCGGTTCACGTACGTAGTGCTCGATTTTGTCGTGCTGCACGGTGTCTCGATGGTCCCATGCGTGTCGCTCGAAAGCGCGACGCTCGTTGCACTGTCCGTTTCGCTCGTGAATGTGCCACTGCTAGTCACGTACTCTGAATGGGGCAATTATCGCTCCCCCTTGGCGCTGGGGGGTTTGGGCACGTGCTGTCGGCACGGGTGGAGGGGGGTGGTGGAGGAAGAGGAGGAGGATGATGAGGGGGAGGAGGATGGAGGCGGGCGGGATCGGGCAGGCTCAGTCAGAAGGTCAATCACCCCCCCGTTGATAAAACAAATCCAGCCAGAGAAGGTTTAAGTCGGGCATGTCCCTCTACATGGGGAAAATTCAAAAATAGTCAAACAATAGTCTGGGGACTATTTGTTTGTTTTCCCCAATCAGAGCTTGCCTCTGTAGGGGTCCTAGCGGATTCATATGGTTAGGTTAGGTTTGCCGTCGATTTTCGCCGCACGCCCGGGTGCCCGGGGGTGCCCGGGGGTGCCCAGATGCCCGGGTGCCCGGGTGCCCGGGTGCCCGGGTGCCCGGGTGCCCGGGTGCTTGGGTGCCCAGGTGCCCGGGTGCCCAGGTGCCAGGTAGCTCTATATAGCCCTATAGCCCTATAGCCCTAAGAGCCCTATAGCCTTATAGCCTTATAGCCCTATAGCCCTATAGCCCTATAGCCCTATAGCCCTACAGCCCCATAACCCTATAGCCCAGTAGCCCATGGCCCTGTAGCCCTGTAGCCCTGTAGCCCTATAGCCCCATAGCCTTCTAGCCCTATGGCCTTATAGCCCCATAGCCCTAAAGCCCTAAAAAGATTATGATTGGGTTTTTTCTCCGGTATTTTTAAATTTCTCGTCGAAAATCCCCCTGTAGGGGGACACGCCCGACTCAAGAGTAGGTGCTGCCAGAGGACGTGCTCCTCGCACCACTGTCCGTCGCAGTCGTGGGCGCGAGGCTGCCGGTGCCCGCGCGCGCGAGCTCTGGTGGGCTGGCCATGGGCTTTGCTGCACTTCTCGCCACGCTCGCAGAGCTCCTCCTCTTCCTCCTCCTTCTCCCCCTCCCTCTCCTCCTCCTCCTTCTCCCTCCTCCTCTCCTCCTCCTCCTCCTCCTCCTCCTCCTCCCCTCCTCCTCCTCCTCCTCCTCCTCCCCCTCCTCCTCCTCCCCCTCCTCCTCCTCCTCCTCCTCCTCCTCCTCCTCCTCCTCCTCTTTCCTCCTCCTCCTCCTCCTGCTCCTCTCTCCTCCTCCTCCTCCTCCTCCTCCTCCTCCTCCTCCTCCTCCTCCTCCTCCTCCTCCCCTTCCTCCTCCCCCTCCTACGTGAGGGTGTGGATGCTGGCTCCCGTCAAGTCGGGCACGTCCCTCTACAGGGGGAATGATCAACAATAGTCAGCAAAAATAGTCTGGGGACAATTTTTCAGCATTTTTTGGGTATTCTCATCTTTCGTCCAAAGTCCGCCTGAAGGAGGACACGCCTGACCTGAGGCTACTGCCCGACGCTGTGGTGCTCCAGGCTCTGGCGCTGCTCCGTGTGGAGGTGCTCACAACTATTGATTTTCTATGTCAGCGCTTTGCACTTGTGGCGACGGTGCGTAATTGTAGGCGCCTTGTAAGCGAGGCCATTGCAGTATACTTGGTCTGAAGTTCCTCATGTGGAGGGCGGGAGTCGCGTTTCATGCGTTCAGCTGGTGGCCGACGTGCTGCTGAAAGGCGTGGCGGTTCTGGATCCCGTCGTGCTGCCCAACGTCGTGGTGCTCGACTCCGCCGCGTGGCTCAGCGCAGAGGTGCTGGTCGCAGGCGTGCTGTTCAAGGACGCGGTGTTCGATGCACCGCTCCTCTCGCTCGTGTGCGAAAGGCTGTTTAGGCTGGATCCCGTCGTGTTGCTTGACATCGTAGTGGTCGATTTCGTCGTGCTGCGCGGTGTCACTGAGGTCCCGGACGTGGTGCCCGGAGGCGTGGTGCACGTTGCCCTGCACGTCACACTCGTGGATGTGGGACTGCTGATGCTGAATCCCGTCTTGATGCGCGACGCAGTGATGCTTGGTCTCACCGTAGAGCTCAGTGTCGGGGTGCTGGTCCCTGCCTTGCTACAGGGTGACGTGGTGCACGCTGCCTTGCTCTTCCCCCTCGTAGGTGCTAGGCTGTTGGTACTGGATTGCGTCGTAATGCTCAGCGTCGTGACGCTCAGGTTCTTCGCGTTGCTCATTGTCGAGGTGCTGGTCACTGGCGTGTTGTCGTAGGACGTGGTGTTCGAAACGGTGGTTCGCTCGTATGTGTAGGGCTGCTGACGCAGTATCCTGTGGTTGTGCGCGTCGTGATGGCGCTCGACTCCATCGTGCTGCCCTGTGACCCGGAGCTGATCCCAGACGCACTGCTCAAAGATATGATGCTCGTTGCATTTCACGGTGCCCAGGTGGTTCCAGACATGCTGCTCGAAGGCGAGATGCTCGTTTCCTTCCTTGTCTCACTCGGAGATGTGAGGCTGCTGATGCTGGTTCCCGTCTTGGTGCGCAACGTCATGATGCTTGGTCTCGTGCTGCTCCGTGTCGAGGTGCTCGTCCCTAGCGTGTTGCTGACAGACGTGGTGGTCGCTGTGCTGGTTGTCTCACTCGTAGTGAGGCCATTGGTGCAGGACCCCGTTGTACTGCGCAGCATGGAGGTGCTCAGCTTCGTCGCGTTTCTAGAGACATCTATATATAGAGAGAGAGAAAGGGGAGTAAAGAGAGAGAGAGAGAGAGGGAGAGAGCCAAGCGCAGTCCAGACAGTCGAGTGCAGGAGTCAGGCTCAAAATCGGGCCAAGAGGGACCATTTTGAGATCCAAGAGCGCGGTCCGTCGCGGTAGGACGCAAATGAGACGAGGACATGAAGGGAGGGGGGAGGGCAGACGGTAGTGGAATGTGCATATGAAGAGGGAGGAGGGAAGGAGAAATGTTGGCCGAGGTGGAAGGGCGGGAAGCTGGAGGGGGTGACACGAATCAAACACAAAGCCAGCACAAGCGGGCGCCAACCTCGAAACATTTCATCTAATATCTCGTGGCAGCGTCTTGGCCCGAGATAGACCCTGAGCGCGCGCGAAGCGCGCGCAGGGTCTGTTTCAGTGTTATGGATTCCACATGTTTTCCCTCGTGTCCGTTCCAGTCTGCCTCGTCGACCTGCTTGTTCCATTGAGCCCATTACCCGTCCTCTTTGTCAAGCCTCGCAACCTTTTTCTCCCTCGCTATATTCGCTCTTGCCATTTTTTTTACCCTGCCTCCTCATTCCTTTTGGTCTTTGCAG